AGCGAGGTTTTGTGTCGGAGGGATACGCCCGTACATTCTGATGCCTTAAATTCCATGTCCTTTCGGTCGGTATCAAGCGTTCTTTGAGATTCTAGCGAGTCCTCTGGTTTTGTCCCCGTTTTTCATGTTTTTGCATCAACTGAAATATTAATGTTTGTGGCCTCAGAATATCCCTTAGGTTGTATAACAAGAAGCAAAAGTTGAGGGCCCAGCACGGATTCTTGTGGAACTCATGCTATGCTGATGGGATCGGAAAATGACCCAGAGATCCCAACTGCCATGGTGCGTTGTCGAACAAACTCTTCTATCTAGCCCATTACAAGTCCTCGAATTACGTAGTTGTGCATTTTCCTAAGCAGTATTTTGTGGTTCACTCGATCAAATGCTGTGGAGGAATCGAGGTGCATAACGCCGACTGCATTATCGTGATCAGCTGCTTTTGTTCACTCTCCTCGGTCCAGAAACAGGTTAGCGGTACACGATCGCCTGCGATGAAACCCATGTTGAGCCGGGGATAACACGTATTTTTCCGAGTGACTCATTACATTGTCTGCCACAATGGATTCCATGACTTTGGATAATACAGGGGGGAGAGTAACGGGGCGGTAGTTAGCCGGATCACTACGAAAACGGCCTTTGTATAAAGGAGAACTTATCCGTTGTTTCCATGTTTGTTGGAGTACAGTTTTGTGAACCATTTGTTGAAATACTTCGCTTAGTGGTTGAGCTAAGTTCCTCGCCAGGTTGTAAGGGGGTTTCTCGATGGATATTATCTACCTCTGGAGAAGAGTTCCTTTCCGAACAATGTAATTTCGATGCTATGACTTGTGGGGAAAAATCAGTTTTAGTGAACGTTAGATGAGAGATTGTGATGATTAATCAACTCCCATTTTACAAGTACCATTCGTCCTTTGTCTCTTATTGTTTTGCTTCACCAGGGCGAACTCTTTGGTCAGCATGTGTTTGCTTTCACTTTACATACGCTTCCTAACTCTTCCGTATCTCCCTTTATGCTCTTCAGGTTGTAACTATACAACCTGTCCTACGTTTTGTGAATCGTCTCGTTCTGTTTTCGCACGAAAGTCCGTTTGCGACATATACGTATTAGCTCGGGTTATAGATAAGCCAGTGCCTGCATACTGGTAAGCCCCCTTCTTTTATTTTGTTTACGTCGTAAAATTTCCTTTTTGGAGAAATTTTAATTTCTCTAGGTCACATTTCTAGCAAATTGTCCTCCCATATATTCGTGCCGATCGATTCTCGTTCATACGATTTTAGATTATATCTATCTCTAGTTTTGCTGTTTAAAGCTCATTTGCTATTGGAATTTTCCATTTTCTTTTTTCCAACTTATTTTCAATTCTAGGCGCTATTCGGTCATATTATTGTAATCCATTCAACAACCTCATTAGATATTGACAATAAAGTATGACAAGCATCGATCATAAGTATCCTGTAGAGAGCAAAGCACCCGCGGCCCACATCAGGGCATCAGAGTTCATGCCGGAGGACCCGCGGCATATGCTGAAGAATGTCAGGGATATATATATATATATATCCAGATTATACTACCTGGGGTACAACTAGCGGTCCCAGTTATTGCGTCAAATGCGTGAGTTGGTGGGAAACACAACTTTAAAAGAATTTGTACAATGCCAGATTTGGCTCCAGCAGTTCCCGCCTTACGTGCAGCGTATACTGGACGTCTTCACTCACTTCCACAGTTTCGA